TCCAAGAACATATGGTCCCTGTACATATACATAACCTTAAAGGAGGGGCAGTCAGTTCCCCTTTTACCCCATCGGTCCTATCAAGCACCAGGAGCCAAGATCAGCGGCAGTGTTTCCAATCATTTGGAGTCCAGAAGCATGAAAACTATCATGTAACTCCTCAAAGAGGTGAAACCGAGTTATTAAAGCGAAGGAAAGGCCCAATGAGAAAAAGCAAAAATGTTGATTGCACTGAATTTACGTTGCCCATCCGCTTGCTGTGGTCCTTCCTTCCACCCCCAAAAGGTTGTCCATCCCCCAACTCTGGTGGTAAGTTGTTGTTAACTCCCTCTCTCGGTCTTCAGGGGGTTGGTGTGAACTTGATTAGGACAAAGGAATTTCTTCCCATAACGTCATTAGTGGGATTTGCTGCTACAGACAGCCCTCCTGACTTAGAAGGTTGTAAAAAAAGATCAGACAGTTCAGCTTCATTCCGATCCAAGGGAGGAGATCATGAAGTAAGTTCTCTAAAAGAACAGGTAGCTAGGGAGCCTATGGAGTGAGAGACAGATGTATTGAAAAAGGAACACACACGTAGTTCTGGCATCCAGCTCACCACCATAAGATAATTTCCAGTATTGCACTAAAAAAAAAAAAAAACAATAAATTCAAAGACAATTCTGACGTCCCTAAGAAGGAGGTAGAAAAAGAAAAGCCATTTTCATTGGAGAAGAAAATGTTCCAGAAGTTGAAGAACACCTTTCAGCACAGCACAAGATTATTATCTTGTCCTTCAAAATCTCCTAAGCCATTCATGGAGGGCTCAGGATGCTTCAAAGATCTCTGATCTCTGCCTACATGGAGGCCTTAACCTCCATCATCACCATAAGAAATTGACTAATCAGCTTTTGGATTGATCGTGCCACCATCTGTGGAATTCCCTTTCCAGAGAAGTTTGGATGAAAGACATTTTGATTTTCTGGAGTGCTCGAATTCAAAGCATCGCTATGCTTTAGATCTAGGCAACAAGAAAGCTGTGTTGAAATCAAGATAGCCATTTGGCTATGAATCACTTCTTAAGTTTCAGAAAGAGCTTTTTTGTTGTTTTAATTGTGTTCCTCATGTCATTTTAATTATGTAATTGTGTTTTATTGTAAACCACATATTATTTGTGGGATACAAATACCACAAATGAGTTCATTGATTTGGTACTCAGTTCTTTTGGGGGGGGGGCTTTTTTGGCTCATTGAAATAACCAAACCTCTCTGTCTCACTCTCTCACTCACTCACAAATACACACACCCATGCAAACACACACACACACACACACAGACATACTACGTCCTTTGAAATGGAGGGTAACGTGTATCTTCTTCAGCATCTAATGGCTTTCCCACCCAAACATAATCAAGAAATCTCCAACAAGTCCAACCACTTGATCTGTTTAGGGATACTATCTTAGCTACTAACAATCCTTTTTCTAAAAAAAAAAAACGGGGTGGTGAAAATTGGATGAGCAGTTCTGACACTAATTCAGCAAACTCCAGATTAAGCAAACTCCAGATTAAGACCAGCAGATGAATCAAAAAAGGGCCCTATGCAGCAATGGCATCTTTGCCTTCCAGACTTGTTTTGTGAACATTTAAAAAAAAAAAGTAGTGGGGAAACACCAGAGCTTACAAATCAACCCATTTCCTGGTGGGTTTTTCATCTAACTGAGCCTGGTCCAACATAGCTTTGAGTCCAGCCTAGCTCAGATCCCACTGAGATTATAATTTACAGCAATTTAAAGGCATGACAGCAGTGTTTCTCAATCTTGGCCCCTTGAAGATGTATGGACTTCAATTTCCAGAATTCCCCAGCCAGCATGGCTGGCTGGGGGATTCTGGGAGGTGAAGTCC